GTGTGGGTCTCCATCACTTGCAAACGCTGTCCTTATGGAGACTGAAATCTAGCTGAATTCTGTATGGGTACAAAATATTATGTTCTGGTTGACCGGATACCATAGTTAACTGATAGCGACAACATACATCATAAACCATTGTCTGATTCTTAAAAAATTCAAAGATTATTCAAGGAGTGTTAGATGCCGGCTCATCTTACACAGAGCACCAGGCAGAACTTGTTGGTAATCTGACAAATGAAAGTACTCCTATCCTATGATGTTCAGTTTGTTTATAGACTGAATTTGCACATAATCAAGAGTTATTTCCTCACAAATAATTTATCTCTAATGAATAATGATGTCTTTGTTGTGAACTTATGGTCCAAATAGCAAGTTTCCCCTAGTCATAATTATCTACAACTATTACGTTTTCCCATTCAATTAAACTTTTCTTACAGAAACAGAAAATTTTATTAAACTACTCAGAAATGATTAAGAAATTAGCATATAAACTAAAGAAGGCAATATTTAAGTAGGATACCCACAAGCCATTTAAAGCATAATTTATAGATATATAGACACTTTAAATGAGTAAAGATTTTCCCCTACTGGTTATTCATTCTTTTTCGTGATAATTTTGCCATCTATGCTCCTCCCAAGCTAAAGCACAAATTATTTATCTTCCCTGATTTGTTCAGGATTTCCCAGGATTTATTTACCACCCGCTAAAAGCAAGTGTCAAAACCCCTGCATCTGCCCCGTTATTTACCCTTCCCTCTAACTGGAAAACCATAAAGAAAATGAATTAAAAGAAAAGCTTGCAATTCTAAATTCTACTCTTTCTTTTTTCCTATCACACCAGATTTGATTCAATCAATGTGTACTCAGCATCCACCATGTGACAGACACTCAGAAAACAGGTGAATAAATATGGGCCCTGCCCTCCAGGAGTTTCCCCCCACCTGGGTACCTATATGTACACAGATAACGTATATGTAATGTAGTAAATGCAGTATCGGAGCCTCAAAATTCTGGAATGGTGTCATGAGAAGAAAAATGGGAAAATTATGTGGTAGCTTAATTCATGACCTCCTTGTTAACTTTGTGATGATTTTTTCCAACCACAAATCCTATAATCCCTCACCTTCAACAGGTGTGAAGATGCTCACTTATTAACAGTTCTAGGAGGCTATTGACAATCACAGACTTCATTCTAGATTGTCCCACAGAATGACTTTTTCATCTAGCACACCTTGTTCAGCATTCTCCTATACAATGTTGATTTGTTAAGTTGCTATATACTGTATATTGGAAATATTTAGATATGTATCTATGTATACCTAAATATCTACATGTTTCACTCTAGATATTAAATTACAAGTTTCACCGTGGCTTGAGATGCTATTAAGAAACCAAATATTAAAATTATCAGGCAATTAGTAATTGGTGGAAATTCTTGGACTTTGTGATTGGCATTATAAACATCATTGTAGCCTGAGAGGATTGTCCAACAAACGTATGATCAATAGCTGCAGGAAACTACAGCTGGAGTGTGTTATAACTTTAAGGGATATGAAGAAAATGTAAAAGTGACTGCCAAAGTAGAGTGCCACTAACCTGTATCTGCAGAGACAATGCTCTAACAAACCTGTGTGCCAGACTCTATTGCCTTCACCTGTAAGAGGAACCCTACTAAAATGGCTTAACCAAATAAGGCTTTGTTTTTCTTTTAAGGGGAGGCATGCAAGGGCTAGTTTAGCAGCTCCACAATTCCATCAGCGACCTAATTTTCTCTTTCTTGTTCATCATCCTTACCATGTAGCTTTTTTCCTTATAGTCATAAGATGGATGCTTTACCTCCATGCATTTTTCTGCATTCTAAGCAGAAAGAATAAAGAAGGGGAAAAGGTGTGTGTGATCTGAGTTTGTTCCTTTTTATAGGAAAATAATAGCTTGCCCAGGGCCTCACCCAGTAAAGTTTTACATACCAATTATTGGGTAAACTAGATCACACAGCCTTAACTGTAAAAGAACCTGGGGAAGTGAGAAATTTTAACTGGGCACGTAGTTGTCCCAGACAAATCCAGGTAAGGAAAAAAGGGGAAACGGATATTGGTAAAGAACCAGTGTTGATTCAATTAGTGTTTCCAGTTCTTATAAGTATCCCCCTGACACAAACTAGTGTGTACAACTATCTTGTATTTAAATTCCATGTACTGCTGTTGTAAAATAAAGATTCTAAATAATTTTCATCGTATCTTCACTCATCATCACTTTCACATATCATCACTTTCCTTGGGCAGAAGGTAATGTTTTTGTAAATGTATCAAGTGGCCTGACCATTTTTGAAGGCTTGTCAATACAGCCAATATTAGTATAACTAAATATACACACACACACACACATATATATGTAAGTTTAAACATATATATTTAAACTTTATTCTGGATCTTGATCTCACACTATGCTACATTTTTTGAAGGAGTTTGTGTCCATCCTACTGCCAGAAGTTTGTTGGCTAATTTAGAATAAATGAATGAATAACATTAAGAAATGGCTTAATACACAAGACAGGTAGGAAAGTAGTTAAGTAACTGCAGGATTGTGATGTGGGTCAGCAAAAGAAGTAGAAGGGTAAGGTGGACGATGTATGCTTATCACTGTATATCTGTCTCATTAAAAAGCATTCAGTACCACATGCACATAGCGCAGTTGTCAAAATAAAAGAGATGTTTTACTTGAGTGAACTCTTGATTTTATTAATTCTGTTGGCTATATATATATATATTTTTTTTTTTTTTGAGATGGAGTTTCACTCTTGTTGCCCAGGCTGGATGCAATGGCGCGATCTCAGCTCAACTGCAACCTCCACCTCCCAGGTTCAAGTGATTCTCCTGCCTCCTTGTCTCGAGTAGCTGGGATTACAGGCGCCTGCCACCATGCCTGGCTAATTTTTTGTACTTTTAGTAGAGATGGAGTCTCACCATGTTGGCCCGGCTGGTCTCAAACTCCTGACCTCAGGTGATTCACCCGCCTCGGCCTCCCAAAGTGCTGGGATTATAGGCATGAGCCACCGCACCCGGTCTGTTAGCTATTTTTTAAACTATTTTTCCACTTAGCAGTACCTCAACCAGAGTGGAGGTGGAGGAAGATAAAGCCCAAACTTGTACAAAAGTTGGGTTGAATAAATGCTTTTTGACGCTAATTATCATTTAACCAGCTCAAACCAGTCAACCTAATTATGTTATCAGCTCCAGTTAAAGGTTTGCTGAGGGAAGAGATTGAAGCTATTTGTTAAATGAGGTTTATGTTTGTCTGTGGATTTCAATTATCCATGCTGTTTCTAGCCCCTCTTTCCAGTGAATTATCAAGAGTTGGATGAATCGCAAAGTATTGTTTTGGAGCACGACTTGGTTACTATCTGTCAGAAATGATAATTAGTATCAAAAAGCATTTATTCAACCCAACTTTTGTACAAGGCACTGTATTAGCTCGTAGCAGTGGGGGCATTTGGAAAAAGCAATGAATGGTATAGCAGCCTCTTCCCAGATGCACATTTTCTTAGAAAAGGCAAGTAATGAGTATATAAGTCTATAACCTTCAACATGATGGGAGGAATGAGTACAAGTATTTTTTCCTCAATAATTAGATTCACATTCTTAAGAGTCTGGCTGAAGGCATCAGCAGACATATATCATCTCATCCAGTTATCCTAAAAGGGAAGTTTGAATGTTCAGTTTACACAAATGTGTTGACTTAGGTTTTGCAAATGAGGGACTTTTTTAAACATCTCATGCTATCCTCCACATTAGGCTCTGCTCTCCAACTTCCTTTAATTGTAGTGCAAAGACACTTAGCTCTGCTAATTACTATGATTTTAGGCAAGTCACTCAGTCTTTCCGAACTTCCTTCCCTTCCTTCGTCTTTAAAATGGGGACAACAAAATCTATGCCATGGGGTTGTTAAGGGGAAGAATAAAGTCACTTTAGATATAAAATCATTTGGTAAAATGTAATGTGTTCTACTAATATAAGGTATTATTGTTTTGTTAATCTGAAAATAATATTGAGGAACCTTTGTCTAGTGTTGACATCATTGAGCATTTGAATGACTTTGAGCTTTGAATAATTTTGTTGAAGTAACACATGGTCTGCTCTCAAAGACCGGTCAGTGATGGCCAGCTCACTGGAAAATCTCTGGTTTTTGAAGTAAAGCCAAGGGAGTATATAATACACTTCTACTTCAGAAATCCTGCCAATGGTAATCCTCCTTTGGAAGTAGTCACAAACCATTTTTCAAGATTGCTGAAATAAATGGTTCTTGGGATTCAGAAAGAACTGATAGGCAAGCAGACATGGTCATCCTCTATGTAGCATAGAGTGCTATTAATATCTATGAAATCTGTTAAAAGAAACATTTGCTTTTTACATGCATTTGCCCTTTTAAGGAATATAACAAAATTAAGAATTGGTGTGTTTGTTAGTCTTCACAAATTTCTACCACCCCAAAAGCTGGTTATTGTTTTCTCCTTTATAACCTAAGTTTCAGTTTTGCCCAACTCAAGGGCTCTCCACTGATGAATATCCCAAGTAATTATTACCTAATATTTTGTATTAAATCGTCCATTTTCTTTCAACTCTTTAGTTGTTACCACAATAAATCCTCTCAAGTGCCCAATTTTTGTATCAAGTATATACAATTTTACGAACATAATTAGATTAAAGGCATTTTTAATTCTTTCTAAACTTCTGCTCAATTCTGGTGATTTGTAATGGTAGGTTCATGCTGAATAACATCAGATATTGTGCTAAACTGTTTTTTCATACATGCTTCCAAATATTTGTGGGTAGTTTCTAAAATGGGTTCTAAGCAGGGTCTTAGAGAAGAAAAGGTGTCCTTAGCATCTCTCCTCAGCTAATGTAGCCAAGTACATTCCACAACTCTCCCAATCAGTATATTAAGCAGATGTGGTCTTTGTCCACCTAGTAAGTTGCATTAGACCTTTCAACACACTGCAGTCTTTTTATCACTCAGCTGCCAAGTTCCCTAGGGTAATCATAGACAGCTTGTCAATTTAATTGCAAAGAAACAGGCTTTCTCGTGACCATTCCAATTTTAGCTGCTACTTTAAATTGTACATGATAGTTCTTCCATGCTGTCTGCCCTTTAAAGAGTGTGGACCTCTGCAAGCCTCTTAATGGCGATGGGAAGAAGAGGCAAGGCTGAAATTTTGGCTTATTGATAAAGCCTATAACATGCCTTTTATTAAGTTGCTGCTTTAGGAGAAGAAGCTTTTTCTCGAGCTCTGTATGTTGTCGCTACATAGCCAAAGCTAAATTATTTTTTCTTTTAAATGTTCCACTTTCATGCACATTTTCCTCCTTTCTGGGTGATAGAGGATTCTTAGGCCATCTGGATTCTGAAACATCTGGACACTGAATTTCTGCAGAGAATTGGAAGGAAGAGACAATCAGTGGTACAGGGTGTCTCCAGAGAGATTTAAATCAATGATGATATTTTGGTTGTATCCCTTTTGGAAAGTTAACACAAAAAGTGAAAGGAAAAAACAACACATTACGTGAACTCAGTGTTCTAGGAATACCAAGAGTACACTGCATAAGAAGTTTGGACTTTTAGATATGAATATAAGTCAGTAACTAAATACATCTTTATATTATATATCACTCCTAGAATCTCCCCCTATTTTTTCAATTGTTATGGAATTTGGATTTAATTTATTTAGACATATTTTTAATAGTTCTAGATTTAGATGGTGCATCATTTGAACATTACTTATTTTACCTTAAACTGAGTATAATTCAATTCACTTTTATTAAGCATCTATGACTTGAAACTCATAAAACTATCATATTAAAAATATTATATTCGACTAGATAGAAAGATTAGACATAGACACCACTTGGGTAAACCAAGAAGAGTTACTTTCAAAGATGTACAGAAGAAAATAAGTGCAAAAGGAATAAACAATATTTCCCAGGACAGCTGGAGTTGTGAGCTTCTGGACCCAAAACTCAAAGATCCAAGAGGATAACATATGAGTGAGAGTGAGACCCAGTGTGTCTTACTGGGACTTTATCGACTGACCCCCCACAAGCTCAGCTTTGTGTGTGTGTGTGTGTGTGTGTGTGTTCACACACATGCATAAGGACCTACAAAGAGGCTGCTCTGGCAATGTGCAGGGGACCACCTCTTCTAGGCCATCAATCTCAGTAGCATACCACGTATAATATGACTACACAGTTCAGTACAGTCTGGTCAGGCATGAGCACAGTGCTTATGTATCACCCTCAGCCTTTCCCTGCTAATACAGCCCGGTCTAGTCCTCCCTGAAATTAGAGCTGCAGAGCCAGAACAAGGGTCGATTGCCCAGATTGCCCAGTGAGCACAGGCCCTTAGTCCAGTCTTAAAGCTGCTCCTTTAAGTCCACAAAGGTACTAGACTTACCGTGCGGACAACTGGGAGGAAATGTTTAGATCATGTGATTTTATTTTCTCATGTTATTGAAAAAAATTCTTCTTTCCTTTCACTGTATTTTCTCTGGTAAATATTTGAGCTCTTAATAGATTTTCTTTCCTGAAAAAAATTAAAATTGTTACAGAGTACACTTAAAGAGATGTGAGTTTGAAGCAACTAACCGGTACTTTTCATGCAGTTTTCCAGAAGTATGTGAGGTTCTTCTACATATTAAAAATAAAAAAAAACTTCAGTGAAAGGTGACTTCTATGAAACCAGAACAGTTCAAAAGATTAAAAAATCCAACAGCGTAATTTTATGTGACAACTATTTTTTTTTAAATCAAATGTACCCACATTTAAATAAAGTAACTCTTTGAAATAAGTGACTATAGACTTATTCTCTGGTTTCTGCCAATTCATTGTGTCCTTAATTTCCTCTAACTGCATCTTCACTGAGCGCCACAATGAAGTACAATATTAGATGTTCACTTGTATGATACCACTCTTGTATGAAGAGAATGAATAAAAAATGAAGTTCTTAGCTGTGATCTATTTCAGATTAGCCATTTTCATTTATAAAATTGTTTATTTTACTTTGTCAGCTTGAAGGTCAATCTAACTTTAAATTGCATATTGCAGAATTTCAACAAAGATCTGAGATCCATCTCTGCTTTCTTTAAGACTAAAGGTGAAAAGCTGATTCTTAACCGGAATATTAGGCAGAGCTTTATGAAATGGACCAGATCATATTGATATAAGACTTGCAAAGGCACTTCACTTTGAAACCAAAACATCAGGGCCTAGCCAGGACTACAGATGGCATCAGAATTAGCAAATATTAGCTATGGACATTAACCCAGGGCAAACTATAAGAGCAAGTTCAAGGGAATACTTGCTGCATGCTAAGGAAAGAATAAACAATAACAATCATAATACATACCATTTTTTCAATACTTACTATGTATTAGGCACTATTCTAAGCATTTTAATAGAGTTTCTCACTATATCTCCACAACAGCTCTTTGAGGTAGGTATATTGCATCATATGTTACAGATGAAGAAGCTGAAGGATCAGGAGGTTAAGAATCTTGGCCAAGATCACACAGCAAGTACATGATGGAGCAAGGATTTAAAGCCAGGCAGAAAGACTCCAAAGTCCATATTCTGAATGATGAGGCTATGTGCATATGCAGTGAGATGGATACTAGGAAAGTCATAACTCAGTATGCTCCAGTATTGACATACATTAAAAAAGGAACAGCTCCTCCTAAGTAGCAAACTTGCATCATCACACCTTACTATAATTATGTAGTTCAAACCTGCCCCACTTAATTGTAAGCTTCACATAGGTGGAGACCATGTCTGTTTTGTTCAGGACAGTAATGCAAGTGCAGGGCACATTACCTGTCACACTGTAGCTTTTTGATTAATATTTATTGAAAGTGAGGGGCTGCCTATTCCTTACAGTGGCTTTAAATAAGGCCACAAATTCTAGTAAAAAAGACATGGGATTTGGACACAAATAACTTAGGCTCTAGTCTTAATACTGATACTGCAGCATTCTAGTTCTGTGGTCTTAGCCAAGCCACTAAACCTCTGGAGTCTCTATTGTATCATCTGATCAGTAAACACAATGAAGACCAACATATTTCTTTAAAAAGTTTTGGGTGCCACACAAATTAACATTGTTATAGGTTCTTCTATTTGATGATAAAATACCTAAAAAGATAAATACACATGAGGAGGCCAAATCTTTTTTTGTAGATTCTGAGGACAGGAACACAGAATAGGAAGTCACAAAATGCTAAATGCTCATTTCACTGAAAAGGCCCTATGTCCTCAAGCTTAGCCTATATAGGCCTGGTTGGTTTTCTTGTTACATGTCTTTCTTGTGCTGAAAGAAACTACAGGCTGAGTATGCCTCTGGGATTAAAGTATTTCTTAACTGATTCAGGTCATCAAGCCTTCTGCCCCTTAACACAGTCTGGCTATTTAAAAATTTTAAAACGTACCCCAAATTCTTTGCCTAGAGCTTAACTCCCTAAAGGCATCTTATAATTTTACTGAAGTAGGTCTCAACATTCCAACCATGCTTCCTGAAGATACAGTCTCCTTTATTTGGGAAGCAGTCTTTTGTCTCTAGTAAGGAAATAGTTTTGCTTTTTGGTTACACATTTTCTTTTTCTGAAAGGACCAAGCTCAGAAACTACTGAGAGATAAAATCATAGATGCCCTATTTCATATGAAGTGAACCCAGATTTATTTTTTCCTTGATGGGAATTTTAGTAATACCCACAGAATACATAGCTTTCCTAAATCAGTCAGTTATGAAAAAGAAGTATGACTGTATTCGGCAGGTAAAATGTTGTTATAATCCCTTCATAAGTAGAGTTACTTAGTAAAATAGTTTTATCGTTTTAACCCTACCTTACACAATTAGTAGTCCATTCAGCTCTAGTTGAAACCCACAACTTTTAAAATATATTTTTTAACTACTCTGTAACAAAAATAATGAGGCCAGGCATGGTGGCTTACGCCTGTAATCCCAGCACTTTGGGAGGCCGAGGCAGGTAGATGACCTGAGGTTAGGAGTTCGAGACCAGCCTGGCCAACATGGTGAAACCCCGTGTCTACTAAAAATGCAGAAATTAGCTGGGTGTGGGAGCGGGTGCCTGTAATCCCAGCTACTCAAAAAACTTAGGTAGTAGAATCATTTGAACCCAGGAGGTGGAGATTGCAGTGAGCCAAGATCGTGCCATTGCACTCCAAGAGTGAAACTCCATCTCAAAAATAATAATAATAATAATAATGAATAATGAACAATTATTTGTTCTTAAGTATAATAATAACTGACATTTTTATGATCATAGTATTGTTAAATTCTTAAAACAGATTTTTTTAGTTGAAAACACATCTTCAAAGGTAACCTGTCCAGGGATTTTTAACTTGGGGTTCATGTATAACATTTTTAAAGTCTTCAAATTTGGATAAAAACAAAAATTGTACTTTCATTTTAGTAACTTCTAACTAAAATTTTGCATTTTCTTCCATTATGAATGTTAAGAATCAATCACAATAGTATTAGCAATACCTGTAATTTGTCACCAATAAAAATCACAGAAATTTTCTAATTCTATTACAGTTACTACAAATATCTCAAAATATCAGTTTTATCCATCATTATATCAAAATTATGGTGGTTATTAGAGCAACCACTAGAGCATGTTATTTAATGTATTAATAATAAAGAAACTCATCTGTTTCTGTATCACAGTGTTTTAACAGTTTGCCAACTGCTTTTACATATAATTAGTTTTCTTTATAATCCTATGTAATGTATATGTTTGTAAACTTTGTTCTGAGAGGGACTCCACAGGTTTTACCAAACTGCCAAAGGGTCTTTGGCACCAAAAAACATCATGAACTCCTGTTTTAAAACTTACAGTATGGTGTGAACTGAATTATCTCCCCTCAAAAAGCAATGTATATGTTGAAGCCCTAACCCCCAATGTGATTGTTTTGGAGATAGGGCCTTTAAAGAAGAAATTAAGGTTAAATGAGATCATAAGCCTATGAAGCCCTGAATCAATAGAATTAGTGTCCTTACAAGAAGAGAAGCCTGAGACCTCACTCCCTCTCTCTGCCATCTCAGAACACAGGGCCAGGGCCCATTGTCTGCAAACCAGGCAGAGATCCCTCACCAGAACCTAACCATGCTGGCACCCTGATCTTGGACTTCCAGCCTCCAAAACTGAGAAATAACTCTCTGTTGTTTAAGCCACCCAGTGTATGGTACTCTCTTATGGCAGCCTAAGCTGATGGATAACAAAATAATACTAGCTTTTTTCTTTCTTTTTTTTGTTTTTGTTTTTGTCTTTGACATTTTTTTTAAGACAGGGTTCTGACTATGTTGCCCAGGCTGGAGTGCAATGGCTATTCACAGATGCAATCCCACAGGAGTTTTCCCACTCAGCACAGGAGTTTTCACCTGCACCATTTCTGACCTGGGCTGGTTCACCCCTCCTTGGGCAACCTGGTGGTCCCCTACTCTCAGGTGGTTGCCATATTGATGTCAAACTTAGTGCAGACACCCAATTGGAATAGCACACTACATCCCAGAATTCCTGGACTCAAGCAGTCCTCCCACCTCAGTCACCTGAATTGCTGGGGCTACACTTGCCGGCTACCTTTTTCCTTTTTGAAGGCTCTCTAGCTTCTCCCTTTAGTTGAAAATGTGGGTGCTATTGGAGAATTTTCTCTACTTCAGTATTTAAGACCTGGAACCACTTTGAAGCCCAAAGTCTTGTGAGTTGTTATGTAAATAAATATCATAAAAAGGAACTAACCTATTAGACAAGAATACAGAACATTTTAAATACAGTTGCCCTTTGTCTGAGACTTAAGTGACAATTGCTACAACTGCTTTCAGATTCTGCTTCTGTCAGCAATATTGTTTTCTTTTACAAGTCCTCTGTGATCCAACTGCTTTATAAGATACTCAACAACTCCAGGTATACACAGTGACTTTGCAGGGGACACCATGATTTGCCCAATTAGGCAACTGAGTATCCTGATTGCAGGTGGCTAATGGTGAAAGGGATTTTTGTGAGGGACCCATATTCCTACATCAACACTTATAACCTACTTCAGGAAGCACACCATACCATTTCTGGTTAACCTTAAAACAATCACATTAAAATAAAGAGGACTGTCAGTAGAGCAATTTTATAAACAGCTAAAATTAAACAGAGCAAGACTGGCAATGCTAATGCATAAGCAAAGAACTGACTTCCTGCATTTCATCGAGAATTCCTGATAGCAAACTGCAGTATGTTTATTATACATTAATTCAACACAGCATTCAAAATGAATTTACGCCCTGGCTGAAGGGTGCTATATTGATACTAAATATTATTTATTATCTTAATATTAGTAACCATACTAAAAAAAATCATGTTAACAATTCAGTGTTTAAAAAGCTAAGGATACCATAGCTCCACTTACCAACCAACTGCTCTTGCCTTAATTTATGCAAGTGTAGCCTATAGCTAAAAGCTTTGTATATTTGTTTCCCCATGGTATTAGTGCTCAAAAATAGGACACTCTTTCAAGGACACC